TCCTTTTTTTATATACATGCTATGACTGAACTTTGCAGTCACCTTCATATTTTTGCAGAGACATCCATTCAGAACTTTTCTACTTCTAGCATTAGCACCTCTTCCCATAACAATGTTTTGAATAAGACTAGAAGAAACATCTTGAGCTTCTGCACTGCTACGTTCTCTATTAATGAGGAACAAAGTCAGCTGAAAATCCCAAGCTCTCAATACTAGCCTGCAAGCAGAATAGTATCGCATCCACCATTTTATCCTGAGAAGCTGAACCTTTAAAACAAGTTGTTGCTTGGGAAGAATTAATATCTTTTCCACAGCCAGCTGTCACATCTAACCTGCAACTCATTGCTATCTCTACTACAATCATCTCAAGTTTTCTCTTGGAGAAAAACAAAACACAACAAAAGCTGTGAAGTTTCATTTCAGCAGCTGGCAAATGAAGAACTCTTGACTAGCACAGACAGGTGTATCTACCACTTCAAAAACAACTTAGCTATGCCCAGAATATGGACCATACACACCTGGAACATGTTTAATTTTCATAAGAGCTGTGTTCTATAAATATTTTTAAAGAAGATTATATGTGTCCAACCAGACTTTTGCAATTCACCTCATGAGGCATCTGTAAAGCTCAGTATAAATTCTCAATGCCTTTCACAACAGGTCAGAAGGGAGCTGATATTATTCAAACACAAAGAAATGGGCATTTCTTAACATCTTTTCAATAACCAGGAAATTTAAAACACCTCTTGCAACATAGAGCATCAGTTATTATTAGGTACTGCTTTCTTACTCTATTCTTTTGCTTTTATTAACATATAATGCCTTTGCAGTACATTCAAAGATATGTGAACTGGTGCATTTTCTCCATTTTTGATCAGCTTTCAGTATTTCACCCTCGAGTCTTTTTTTTTTTCCACAGGCTGAGGCCAAGGTGTAAAACTTGATCTAACCCTGCAACACATTTTTTATACATATAATTTGCTGCACAAGTCAGAATTTGCTTATTATTTCCTTCATGCTTGAATCACAACTCTACAGCACATAACACTAGCTGATTACTGTAATTAATTTAAAGCAATCCATCATATCATTATGCAATGCTGGAGAAAGAAGAGTTGCTTAGCTAAGTATTTTTTAAAAATTTACAGTGTGATAGATAGGAATGTTCAGAGCTTGCATTCGATTACAATTCTGAAAGTTCACTCGGAGTTTTAAAGGTTTATATTGCCCCTTTTTTTCTCCCTCAAGCTCCATTTTCACATCTTGAAAATACTGAAGAGAACTTAAGAAAACTTCTTCCTCATTTATATGTCAGGTTTTAACCATAAATATGACAGAAGCAGATAGGTAAGACTTTTTTCATCTAGTCAAATCCTCTGCATAAGGACTAATAAATCCTAGAACAGAAAGACTATACAGAAAAACTTACTATAGACATTGCATAGACTTACCTTCTTGGATTTTTTGAACATTTCTGCTAAAAATTTTAGTATCATGTGCAAAGTATGCACTTAGGCAACTGTTTTGACTTTGAGAGAGGGTTCTCATCTCCTTGTTTCTAAAATTCATACATACTTACCTCAAAGGCGATAACATTTGTTTTCATAAACTATTTCCCCCTTCTCCTTCCACTGGGTCAGATTATCACTTCCTCTAATTAAAAAAGTCCAAGAAGGAAATTCTGGGAGATGAACTCTCCATGTGGACATTAAGGTCTACTTAGGGTAGATCCCTATGGGATAATGAAGGAGGGGAAAGGTGGAAGAAATTCAATTGGAAGAAAAGGCAGCTGCCTCTTTTCAAAGAATGCAAGGCCCTACTTAGCTTCCTCCAACTCACAGATGAGCCTTAGAGCCTGAAACCAAAGTTTTAGGAAACCTCTCCCATGGTACCCAGTCAACAAAAGGTAAAAGGGTCAGAGACAGGAGCTGTTGTCTCTCTTCTGAGCATGGGGGCAAGATCCGTGGAAGCCCCAAGGAAACCTCCTCGGCTCTCACCACTATTGCAGTCACCACCTCGCGCCATGCTGAGAACCGACCTGGAGCCCCCGAGCTAAAAACACAACTCTACAGCTGGACCTACAAAAGATCAGCTCTCAAGACGTGCATCCTTGGAGGTCAGACATAGAGAGAAACATGTAGAAACACCCTGGTCACAAGGTTATATTATTATTAAAAATAGTGAGATATTACTAATACAGTTTCCCTGGGTTAAATAAATTCAGTTTTCCTAGCCTGACTCAAACTACATGAATGTAAAGTTTCAAAATGTTGAACAAAGGCAGTTTCTCCTCAATAATTTGAAATTATTCAGACCATATATGTAACAGCAGGATACATGAATAATTAAATGCTCTGTAAGCCTTTGTTTCAGAGTGGAAAGTATAAGGATTTCCATTTCCAAAGATACTCATAGAGGTTGGTTTTTTTTTTTACAGATGAAAAACTGGCTCCGGTCACAATTGAAATAAACATTTTGATAACATGATTTCAGTCATGAGGAGCGGAGAAGGGGGGAGGAGGTAGAGGAGCCTTGAGAAAAGGTCCATTTGCAAAACAAAGCAAACCTCCTGCAACTGAAATCCCCTTTTATTTCCTGTACAGGTGCCAGGTCTTGAACAGACACCCAATTTATTACCTTGTCAGCTGACTTATTAGGGTTGACACAAATCGAGCTGAAATATGCCTGACATACTGCAGTCAAGGCTTTTTTCACGCTTTAGCACAAAGCCAAACTTTCCACAAGGTGGAGGGAAGGGGAGAGGGAGCTGTGGGAGTTCTATTCCCTGTTTTCTATCATCAAGACGAATATGATCCTCTCCCATTCTTAATATGCAAAACCAGTCATGAAATAACCCAAGGCTAAAAAATAATTCACCAAAATGATACATCTGGGAAACGATTATCAGGCTCTGGAAAGCCCTTGATTACAGGAAATAGCACCTACATTTTGAGAAAATGTTCCCACCAGACACAAAGCTGAATCAAAGCCTCTCCTCTTCCTCAGTATGGCTTTCTTCTCTGGCATTTTAGCCTAAATAATGCAAATCCCCAGTTTTCCTCAAGGAGAAAAAAAACTATCAAATGCAAAATGAAGTAAAATAGAGGTGAGAATAATACAGCTAGTATCCCTACTAGCTGTATTATTGCATAACGTTTTGTCTGACAAAGCTGACCTTTTCTTCATCAAACCTATCCTTGTTGTACTTCACTTTTTATCCTCTAGTTTAAGACACTAATATTAACTTATAGTAGTGGGTGAAATAAAACATGAAACAACAGGTTTTGGAAGAAAAAGAAGAAAAATCAGTGTTAAATTTTATTATTAAGTCCAAGTCCTGCCTATATAATTCAACTCACTTGTTTATTTTTGCTCTTTCATACATAAATAAGTAATCAATTAAAAATCCAGCACAACTTAAACATTTTCATGAGAAGTTCCACTGCATTTAGTAATATAATCCACAGTAGTAACACATTTCGCTCTAAATTTATGCAAGGACTTCTCGTAAATGTAATGACATGCAATCTTTAAAATATTACAAATTCTATTTTAAAAACTTCAGTACAGCTGAGCTACTGGCTTTGTAGCTTACTTTTCTTCCTTTACAAGAATGGAAGTTATATTTCTTTAAACTTATTTATACCTGCTCACTGGGCAGTAAATTCTGGTCCAGTAAATTCAGGACACGCAATACTGGTAGATTCTAGAACATGGTCTTCCACAAGGCAGTGGACCTGACATTGCAATATTTGTATAAAATAGCACCATATAAGTGTAATACAAATGCTTACTTAGCACCTTTTTCCAATAGAGGATCTGATTTTGATCCCTCCTACTCGGCTGTTCCACTGAAGTCAGCAAATTTGCATCACAGTTCAGGTAAGATTAGGAGCAAGCCTATAATATTCTCAAAGGTCACATATAAACAGAAGTAATGAGGAAAGTGAAAAGGGTATACTATTCAACTTAGATTAGTTCTTCTGAATTTATCTGGAACAAAGGAACTGGTTACAGATGACTGTTACTATGGTCTGTAAAAATGTAGTTATATAACTTCAGTGAGTCATCACAGCACAGCGAATGATAAAATGAGGAATAATATTTACATCAGACTTTCTATTGAACTGCTTTGGTCGTACTTCTGAACTTTTAAAATGATAGTGTGTTTTTGTCCATGATATACACAGTGGTGAAAGTAAGTCTATTCTTTTCAGATCTATGACACTAATGTACAGAATCATTAAGAGATTTTTCCACAATTTCTGTAACTTCTAGGTGTTGACCCAGGAAACTAGGATGGTCAGCTCTGAAAATGCTACCCCTGTGCTCCATCTAGTGGAATCCTGATTTAAGCTTAATGCATCTTTTAGCAGAGAAGTGCTTCAGTCAGAAGGGTACTCTACATAGAAGCAGTTCCTTAGAGTTTTTCAAGATGAGTGCAAACTGACGCAATTTATCTTAAAGAAAAAAACAGAAACATGGAATAAAAATCTGCACAACATTTAATGGGTTTGAGAAATTAGTATATTTTGGGAGCTACAGAGACTACTGAACTTAATTAATAACGTATTTCCAATAAGGGTAAACTCAGTTCACAGTCCACACTTTCACAGAAGAGCACAAGTATATTTGAGAACAAACACTGACAGCTTGTCTTTGTTTCTAAAGATATGGCAGGTGCAAACCTGGGCTCTGAGTTTCATGAGGAGTGATCACCGAACCATTTACTGGCCCCACTGTATAGAAAAAGGCAATGATGCAATACTAAGGATACGGACAAATACGCATTCTGCAAACAGCTGTGTCTGTGTAAGAGATTATAACCTAAAAGAGGAATTGGCTCCCTGACAGGCTTGTGTGAAATACAGCAATCTCTAGAACATTACGGTAGGTAGGGACTACCAGTTGTTTCAGTCAATTAGTTTGAGAACATCCCGACTCTCCC